CGCCCAGCTCACCCGGCGGGGGCAGCGGCCAGGGCTCGGACTCCGGCCTTAACTCGTCTCCGTCTGAGCTGCTGAGGCTGGAGCTGGAGCCGGGGCTGGGGCTGGGGCCGGCCAAGCAGGCGAAGCGCAAGGGCCTCCCGGGCAGGATGACCCTCAGGGAGCTCTCCAGGCAGCGGAGCGGGGAGGGCCTGCCGGCCAGCCCTGGGCAAACAAAAGGACCTCTGACGCCACACGGGCCGGTCCCTGCCAGCCGGCCACTGCCCCAGCCGGGTCTGCCCACCCTTCGGCCACGGACGGCAGAAAGCAGCGGCGCCTGGCCGGGACCCCCGGCCTCCCCAGCAGTCAGCTGGGGGCTCTCCACGGCCCCCGGAGGCCGCTGGAGCCGGGTCCCAGCCAGGCCCTGGGTCTTCGGAGCAGCCTTCCCCACGCAGGCCGGCAACCACGGGCGCGTTGGTTGAGAGTCGGGGTCAGGTCACCCCACGCCACTGGCGGGAGTATCAGAAACCCACGCCACGGGCCTCCCTGGTGGCGCAGCAGGTCAAAGCAGCACGGCAGCTGGCCGCAGCCGCTCGGTGCAAGGTCGATCCCGGCCAGGGGTGACCCCAGGGCGCAGCAGACCGCTCCTGTCTCCCGCTGCTCCCACAGAGGTATAGTTCAGACCATCTGCCTGTCCTGCTCCCCACTCTCTCTGGGGAGTCCTCTCACCCTCCCCCCCAGTTCTTGTACGCACAAAATAAATAAATCTCTAAAAAGGTAAAATCCACACCCCCCACCCCGCCCTCGGGGACTCATCCTGGAGGAATCTGCGGCAGGCGCTACCCACAGGGCCGAGGGACCCCAGCGCGCCCCCAGCACGACAGTGAGGAATCACCCACCCCGGCCAGAGAAGCCGGGGCCAGGCGCAGAGCTCTCACCCTGCTGTCTCTGGCTCGTGGGGTTCCTTCCTCTTTTGAGGGGACCCCACCCTGCAGGGCTGCCACGGCAGTGTTCTGGGGTTTGCAGGGCCCAGGCCGCAGCCTTCTTGGGGACGGGGACGAGACGGGGAAGGGCGGCCGCGTGGCCGTGGGAGAGGGTCCTGCGCGGGCTCTCACTCACCATCGCGCAGCGCCCGCCCTGACGGGGGTCCGGGCGGCCTGTGGTCCTTGAGGCCTCGCGGGGAGCCAGAGGGAAGGCTGCAGGGGGTGAGTGCCGGGGGGCTGGCCGGTTGGAGGCTCCTGCCGGGGCGGCCCCCTATGTGCTGTCCAAGGGGGGCCGGCTCGCAGGCCTCGCCCCTCGGTCCTGTTTTAAGGAGAAGCCGCGGGCCTGTTTGCACGGAGGAGGACGCCGTGGGCAGAGCCACTTCCCCCACGGTGGACTCTCAGGTCCACGGGCTCCAGGCCTGGACACACCGGCCCTGGGTGCAGCCGGGACGCGGCTCCAGATGAGGCAGCGGGCGGGAGAGACCAGGGCGGCCCAGGTGGGAGGGCCTGGCTCTGGGGTAGCGGGTGGGGCTGCGGCCCTGTCCAGCGCCACCCTCTCCCAGCTGGCCGCACCGCCCAGCCACGTGGCTTCACACGAGCCTCTGCCGGGGGCTTCCAGAGTCTCCTCTCAGGGTGGACGTGGGCGAGGCCATGCTTGGGAGGGTGGGGGGAGCCCGCACCCCAGCCGGGCAGCCACGTTTTACCTTCCTTGTCAGTGGTCCCGTTGCTGGGCTCTGTCCTCTGAGGGCCCCCGTCCCCCGACGAGGACCAGGGCCAGGCAGGCCGCGGCCTGGCCATGGGAATCTCTCTGAGACAGTTCTCCAGGCCCTGCAGCGGGGAGCTCCCCACGGGGCTTCCTGGGAAAAACAGCAGCGGCGTCTGGGGTGGGTCCGGCTCGGTCTCCGAGGACCTGGGAGTCTTGCCTGTGGCCTGTGCTGCGTCCAGGGCAGCTGGCCACGGGGGAGGCACACGGCACTGGGCCTGCTTGCCATGCAGGGCACGGGGCACGGCCCACACGGGCGCCAGCCCTCAGGGGCAGCGGGCAGCCTCCCGCGCTCACAGAGCCTGGCCTGAATGCAGAGGGCGGCCGGGCCGGCTCTGGGCCCCTCGGACGCCCAGCCCCACCCTCGGGCGATGCCACAGGCCAGCCCTGGGACGCACATCACAGGGTCACCTGCCCTGCAGGCCGGGGGCTGGCGGAGGCCCCCCGCCAGCCAGGCTGTGGTGACAGAGGCCACACGCACGTGTGCAGTCTCCCCCAGAACAAAACAAGCCCCGAAGCCGTGTTCTGGCGCAGACGCTGTGAGGCATCGGGCCTAGGCGCCCCGGACTTCTAGAGCAGGAAGGGCCCTTCCTGCGTGAGCGGCTGAGCGACCTCGGGGCCCCAGGGCGGCGCTCCCCCGAGATCTGGGCGGGGGGTGGGGGTGGGTGAAGCCCCTGTAGTCCAGGCCGCTCGGAAAGCAACGTCGAGGGGCAGGGCGGGGGCGGGGGGATTTCACCTTCCCTGTGCCCTTCAGCTTTCCTGGCTTTTGCACAAAACCCCGTGACATAATGTGTTTGAAACAAGAAAGTAAGAGCGGTGGTCCTGTGCGGGGGTGGGGGCGGCAAGGCGCCCCAGAGGCTAAGCCTGGGGGGCCGCCAGGGGCTGCCCGGTGCTGCCCTCCTGGCCGGCCAGGAGCTGGGGCCCGGATGCAGCT